TACTCGAGTATCGATTCTAGAGGTACGTACCGGTCTTTCGTTCGATCGCAATATTAAATCTGCACCACAAACGTTTCCCAGCCGCAAACGATGTAGCCGTGCGCGCGATAATCCTGCACTGAATTGGCGCGAAACAGTGAAGGCCGCTGCGGTCCGGTTCCGCGATTTTTCGCGCGCGGATTAAACATGGCTGCAGTGACGTAACGTCCGAACGTCGGAATCGGACTAGTTTGAACGACATTTCAATGGAACGAGTTAATCGTGCATCGCGAGTGAATGCGTCAATATTTGTGTAATTAATTGTGATTGAGCATCTAAGTGAGTATTTAACAAACGAAATTAATCACTAATTAACATATTAATACGTAATTTATATTAATATTAAAGTACTAAAGTAATTTATATGTTTATATACGATATATAACTGCTATAATTATGTTATAATCTGAAACGAGTGTAAAAATTACTTGTCTTATTCAAATTACGATTTTAAATGAGAATATCATTTAAATGAGAATACGTATAATTAAAGTATTATATATTTCGGGAGAAAAAAATATCAAATACTTGTATTACGGGCGAATACAATATTATTATCCAATATTTATTGATTTCACATTATATACATATATATTTATTTATTGCTATATATATTTTATTGACATACAAATTATTTGTAATTATTTTTTAATTTATAGAAATGTTGCGTACAATCATTGCGTTCAAACAAGAGGATACAACAAATAAAACGACTGTGACAATTGTTTTTGGAGAATACCCAAGTTTTGCGCTTCAAAATACATGTAAGTTTTTAACAATTTTTTTAGATAAACTTTATATTAAATATTTATCGCTTTCAATGGTATAATTATTAGTAAAAAAATATGTTTTTAATAATGCAATTTTTTCACAATTTAATAAAGAAAATGTTTTCTTTTCATAAATTATGACGCATTAAAAAATAATCATAAGTATAAAAATCGTATATCAACGCATAAAAACAAGTTTATAAGTAACATAAAATTTTTTCCTCTATAAAGAAGGACAATACTCGTATATTTATTTATTTATATTATATCCTCGCGGTGGCATATTTTTATCTTTCTTAATACAATTACTCTAAAAAGATATACGAGAACGCCACGAGCAATTTACAGAGAAAACTCCATCCCTAGTCGCAGGAACAATTCCATCACAAGAAAAGCACATCTTCTCTTTTCACACACATACACACATATACACACATATCTAGAATGCAAATAAAAATCTATTGGCTAGCTTCTTGTTTCATATATATAAGCTTTTACCGAAAAATATCAGAGAAGAATGCCAAGACTTTTATTATTTTTATTTCTTGCTGTATTTCTCATTTTCGCATTATTCCAATATCGTTTATTTTGATTATGCGTTCACCGAAAAATAAAATTGACAATAATTCGCTGTACACGTAAAAATTAAACCAAAATTGTTTTCGCTTTTATGGAAATTAACATTTAAATATTAAATGTCATTTATGAAAAATCATTTTAATTAAAATTGACTTTGTCAAACCGGGCGAAGATAATGTCTAGAGAGTATAGAAATAAAATATAATATAATAAAAATAAAATATCAAAAATATAACTCGTATATATAATAAAAGAATTAATATTGAATAGTTAACTTAACAAATAGTGATTATTTGCTTCAGATATTTTGTTCTTTTAGATTAATGTTTTCGGGTAACAATACCACAATATATTTTAATTATTATTTGAATTTCTGGTTCTTCCTTTCAATTTACCATATTTGTAAATTTTGCGAAACGCCAGTAATGAATCTAACACCTAGCATTAAATGGGATTATATGAGATTGCGGTCTGCAGGCTCGGACAAAATCAAATTTCTGTTGAAAGCACCACTGTGTGTGTACCGATGGTAGCCGTGCGAATCGGAACTAGCTTCAAACGAACGTTCCGCTTGCGGGTCCAGCTATGTCTGAACACAGTGCTATACGATTTTCAAGTCCCCTTTGAGTAAATATTGGATTCTATTCCGTTAGATTTACGTTTTATTATCGAGAACGTGACATATCTATTCTAACGTGTGCGAGACGTCAGGTCGCGATTTAAACGCTCGACTCGATAGCTTCCTAAAAGCAAATGGTTAATGCGGTTCGCCGAGCTCTTAACTTAGAATTACTATCGATTTTGTTAATTCGCTTTATTAATACTTCGAACAACTTGCGACATTTTGCATTATGTAAAATAATTTCGAAATATATCACGTGCGGATAATATTTTTACAGAAATATATAAACATAAAATAAATTTTTAATAATAAGCTTTCTGCTCTTTAAAATATAAGAATACAATAATAAATTACTGTACATTCTAATTACATTTAGTTATATATATCGCATTATGTATGTGCATCCTTTCTTTTGTTAATTTTAATCATCAAGTATTGATTAAATTTTTTTGTTAGTCAAGATTATTTACGTTAATCACGTTAGATTTATGTTTATGCAATTTTCAATAATAATAATAATAAAAACGAGCTAATACGAAATAGTTACATATACACAGACATATACAATACTCTTACAATAAAGAATACTTATTATTACAGAATAATAATTATTATAAAACATTAGCAAAAATTGAAAAAAATGATAAAGGCTAGCATTTTAATCTAGTATTTAAATTAGATTTTCCATTTTCTCAGTGAGTTTCCTATCAGTTCGGTCATCCGAAACTGCATTGATGCATTATATGCGCATTTGCATGCATATATCTGAATACATTATCATTACATCTAAATATAAATTATCGCCAAACTTTTATTGTATTCGTTCCTTTAAAATATTCAACATTTATAGTCTATCGTATCAACCAGCAGCGGCGCATTCACATTGAAATAGAATTTTCGTCCCGATAATCATTATCAGAACGCAACGCTTGTGAATTTATAATCCGTTCGTTTACTCGGGGATATAATATTCCGTTCACATTTAATTCCGCGGAATATTTTTCGGCTTGACCGTTTGATACGAATAACGCCTCGCGTTATCACTCAAACGCGGATTTTCGTTTTAAATTGAACGAATCACGTTGCAACGTCAACGTGATTATGTTATTCCCGTTATTTTACCGCCGTGATTTATTGTTAATGCAACGCAGTGCGATATATATATATATATATATATATATATATATAAACACACCCGCTCGTCTGGCGATACGTCGGTAATAAATCACCGTTTTACACGACATTTTCAGCTTCATTTCTCCAGAATTCCCGGGTGTGTGTAACATCGCGCTGTAAACGTAGGCGATACAACGGTATGAGCGGAGCGCATACCATGCATTGGCCTCGCTATAACACGAGAAGCAAAGTTACCGGGCGGCGCCGTAGGAGAAGAGGTGAGTACCGCTAAAATATTCCCAGGCTGTGCGCGGGCGCGCGTTGCTTAGTCCACGTGCCCCGGCCCCATTGTTTATTACATCCCGGATGTGTTGTTTGCTGAAAAAGTTCGTCGCCATGAATCAGGGCCCTGCCAGCGACCATTGTACTCTCGTACTTATCCTGCGCGAGAACGGGACACGATGCATTTTATCAGCGAGACTCTCATCCTCATCGCCTCGTTCTTTTTTTCTTTCGCTTTCTCAGATAATCCGCTTAAGATTTCGTGGACGATGTTTATTAGAATACTTCGCTGTTAACAAACACATTACGAGATTTTTATTATTTAAGTCAATGGATGAAAGGTATTAACTATATATAACAAATGTGAATGTACATATACGGAGTCTAATTGTGAGATAAGTATTGTAGATATTGAGAAATGCGATTTGCACAATTCGCACGACCGCTTTCGTAGAAATTCAAAAGATGCTTCCTCCTTACATTTCCGTTTGCTTATACAAGCAGAAGACTTAAGCGGTTACGACAGAAGATCTAGGCCGGAAAATTAATCGTTTCTCGCAGCGGAGCCCGACCATAAAATCGAAAAGTCGTTCTATATCCTCGGTATTAGTTCGGCTTGACGTATTATTATGGAATTGCCGTCACGTGCGCATCGATGGACGATCGAAAACGCATCAGGCGACTTCTCTTTGTCTGCGAGTTAAGTCACTCCGACGACTTGGTAACAGCCTTCTTGATCGAGTCTAATCCTAAAGAGTTTCCAATATCTGATAATCCGAAAGACGTCCGTGATCGGCATTAAACTCGTGTCTTTTCGTCTGTTTGCAAAAAAGAGACAGAGAAAGAAAGATATTCCATCACATTTTTAACTGCCTAAGACGAAATTTTACGCCCTGTAATTACGAATTATATTGCTTTCAATCAAATCAGATTGTCGCGAGTAATTGAAAGCTGTCCGCGTAAAGTGTTTCATTTTGTTCGCGTAATGAAATTTAGCTCGCTTACTGTGCATCTCTTTTTATCAATGAATTTATTCCATGTGAAGTGAGATATTTTTTAGAACATTTTTTTACAACCTTTTTCTAGCACGGTTTTACCAGCACCATAAAATTTTTTATTATATTTATTTTTTATGTTATATATATATGCATTTAGCATACTGCATGATATTTCTAAAAGTCAAAACAATAATTGTGCCTAATATGGCAAATTTAGGTGAAAATTTACGGAGTATTATTCGTCAATATGCCGATTAACATGTAATAGACCTTGACACGTGGATTAAGCTTGAAAGCTGTCTTTCCTAGGAAACAACGTAAGTTATGTCAGCGTTCTCTACAACGGAAACTCTTGCTATATATCAGACAAAGCGTTCTACTTAGTACAGACATCGAACATACTATTCCTGACATTTCCAGCGAGTGATGTAGACAGTTCATGTTAAGGATCTCACGTATCCTTGTAATTTAGATCTAATTAACGTCATTCTCTCACAACTCTCATATATAAACAGTCGTGTATATTAATATAATATTATACAATAAATATATTAAATATTTTTAAAAATATGTAAATGCACATTTATGGTACAAAGAGCAAATATTTTTGTTTAACGCATCTCGCGTGCATGAGTTGACGGATAGAGATACACCTTCTATGAAACACAACACGATAGGAATATACGGCAGTTATCGGTGCTTTCGATCCGAGAGGAGAAGATAGTTATATCAAACGCAAGAAAACGGAGACGTGTACGATCAGTACTATCAGTGCACGCTTTACAAAGTATCCGAGAGATCAAACACAGAGAGGATTATATTGACAGACGCTCGGCCAATCGCGACTGTAACAATAATCGATAGATCGGCCCCTTTTGTCGGATAGAAAGTCCGTCATTTCTCGCATTTTACGAAATTCGATAGGATTTGCCCGTCGCATTCAAAGGTAAAGAAAAAACGTGAAAAATCCGTCAAGAGGGTAAAAGAGACGAAGGGGATGAGTTGACTTTCTTCGCTCGAAGATTTTTTTCCTCGCGCCAGTGGCATCAGTCAACAGTGATTTTCAAGGTGTGCGAGTAACTGCGGTAACCGAGTACGTCAGCATGATGTGTATTCCCCATGGGGCAGAAACGAGCGAAATTGGACTTCACGCTTGGCTTCAAAAGTGCGTGGTGAAAATATACGACCGAGTAGTCTGTCAAAATTCGACGCGACGACGCAAACTCCCATCTCGGACCTTTGTTTCTTTCAACAAATCCTTTGCTTTGAGCACTCCAGGATCTCGTTGTAGAACGAAGCTTATCCTTGTGACACTCCGGGGCTTCAAGAGATTTGTTTCTACATTATATAAAACAAAATTAACAAACAAAAAGTAAAATTAAAATATCAACTATTTATCCAAACTCTTAATACCTGTGCGCAATCCATCAATAATACGATATGCTGCAAATTTCTCGCATTTCCCTCCATGTATGAATTATTTCGTTAATTCAAACTCGATGTTTTGTTGTCTTTCTCTTTCAACAAATTTTTCTCTTTGAGTACTCCAGGATCTCGTTGTAGAGCGAAGCTTATCCTTATGACACTCTGAAGCTTTAAGAGATTTATTTCTACAACATATAAAATAAAATTAACAAACAAAAAGTAAAATTAAAAAATCATCAATTTAGGAAAACTCTTAATACCTGTGCGTAATCCATCAATAATACGATGCTACAAATTTCTCGTATTATTCTCCATGTATGAATTATTTTGTTAATTCAAACTTAATGTTTTGTCTTCTTCTTTCAACAATTCCTTCTCTTTGAGCACTCCAGGATCTCGTTGTAGAGCGAAGCTTATCCTCATGATACTCCGAGACTCGAGGCTTTAAGAGATTTGTTTCTACAATATATAAAACAAAAATAAAATTAACAAACAAGAAATAACATTAAAAAATCAAGTATATTTATCCATATTCTTAATATCTGCGCGCAATCGATCAATAACACGATGCTACAAATTCCTCGCGTTTTCCTCTACTTATGAATTATTTCATTAAGTCAAACTCAATTTTTGTCTAATTTACGTCAAGAATTAAAGTATTTTCTTATAACGGATCTGCAAATTAAAATCATGTAAATTAAATTTTTATCCTTAAAGTTTAAGTGACATGTGAGATCTAAGATACCGAATACATTCATAAAGAAGCATATATTTTAGACGCATGTCAATTGCGTTGCATAGACATCTTCGATGTCGATGCACGTTCTTCGCGATGCGTGGGAAATGAGAAAAATGCAGAAGCCGCTTGTAATATTCACGCGACGAATTCCCCAAGCAATTCCACGTTCGACGAAGCTCATTGGTTTTATCTCTTCGTGCAATCTTGCGAATCCGATCGTCAGATAGGGGTAACTCATAATATGAATCGAAATTATATTTGAATTTTAATGACGCACAGTTCTCGTCGTCCTCTTAGCTTCACGGATCTTTCTTCGTTCATCTCCAGAAGAAAAAAAAATCGAGAAGGGATGTAGAGACGAATATGCGGGATGTGACAGAACGCGAAACATCAAAGAGATATATGTATTGTATACTGTGGTGCTGCATTTATTCATGTTTATATTCATTATGATTCACCATGGTAGCAGCAGCTGAAGAAGAGCCTGTCAACAGCTACGTTGGCTCCGACGTTATCGATAAATGTTGGTCGGCGAAATTTATTGTCGTCCCGGGAAAAATGACAGCGCCGATGAACTGTCATCGTCATCCGCGCGGCCGGTTTACGAGGATTGATCGCGATAACGTTTTGCACGACAGCGAAATAGACAATGGCCGGGCTGTTGAAAATTACAACTCGGGCTCGCTTAAATTATGCGAACAATTGCACGAAGTAGACGGTCGAGATAATTGAATATGCCAGCCCGTCATTCGTATCTCGGTGGAATTCGGTGCGCAATATTGCAAGGGCATTTAAAGAGACGAGGGAATAACAAGTTCGAAGAGAAGAGACTCGTTCGTTGATCTATCTAGATATCTAGATTTACCTGCAAAATTTCTAATGGCAAGCAAAGTGAAAGAGCGCTCTTTTTCTGTGGATACATCCGAGAAACATCGTGCTAGAGGAGATATGAACCTATCAAGACGATGCATGCTATCGAATATACAAAGCAATCTCGAAATCTGCTTCGCGAAAATCCCACTCGTCGAGTTTATTTGTAGGATGTCACGTCTATCGGATACGTTTCCTGCCGAGAGATTCAAATTTTCAGATGGATCGTACTATGTTTCGATAATAAAACATATGTTGAATGTATACTGGCAAATAGAAAGAGAGAGAGAGATGAGAAGAGGAAAGAAAACAACGAAAAGTACAATAAATCGCGAGATGTTTATGTTAATAGATTATTAGTCAAATTATGCCAAAAACTAATGAAACAATCATATATACATATAAAAATAATAATGTATTGCATAATAGCAATATAATTATTTTATAATAAAGTATATAGGAAATATTACGATGACAGATTGTATGAGAAAGACAGAGAAAAAAGAACGCTACAAAAATTTTATAGATTATAGAACTATACGAATCGGTGTCGAGACTTTTCTGTGGTAAATTAGATCCAGAATAATCGAGTCGTATCTCTAAATTTTATCAATGCATGCATCCGGTCGAGATATTCGATATCTCTTAGAAAAATATGAAATTCCATTGATTAAAATCCATATATCGAACAGCAAACTTTATTATATTATGAGAAAGAATTATAGAACAATATTAAAAACTACGATTTAGAAAGAATGTGAAGAATGATAATATATTAATTTTTATTTTCTGTGCAACTGTGCTTTGAGTTCTGCAAAAGCAACATTATTAATGCAACTTCATATTTAAGACACAAAAAATTACGACATTCTCTAATTAAATATAATAGAAACTAATATGTATATCTTCTATTTGCGCCGCGTTTATATAAGTTTTCGTATGCTAAAGACAGAGAGAGAGAACTAAGTGTCATAGTCGTGTTAAGAGAAGAGGTGCTCCGCGTATAATTCGACAAAGGGAAAACTTCCCTCGTTTCTCCGTTTCAAAGGAAAGCATTTAATGGAGAGAAGAAACGATGGGAAATACTCGCGATCGTCCCACAAAGATGAAATCCTCCGTACAAACCGTAGGATTCTAAAGTTTCGGAAGCCGTCGGTTGATGGAGCAAACTTTCTCGACCCTTATGTCGCCCTCGTTCCGATAATTAACTTAGAAAAATGTGGTCTGCCATCGTCGAACTCGCATGAAATCCGACCCTAACTTCTGCCTAACTTGACCTTTAGCCTCTCTCTCTCTCTCTCTCTCTCTGGTCTCTCACCTTACCTTTATGTCCTCATCAAGCGCCCGTAACTTTCGCAGCTTTAAACTTAAATTTACTTCGGGGTGACCCGTACGCCCCGTTGACCGTACTCGCGACTTCTAAGCGAAGTTCTCTCATCAAGCCCCCATTTTAGTCTAGTTTCACGCATATTACCACCGTCCGTCCACATTTTTCCTCCGTTTTACGACCCGCTTGCGATACCACGCGCCTGTGTATTGACCGTATACAGAAGATTGTTGGCGCAAATAACACGTCGCCATCCGCTTCTTCCTAATACCCGTTTGTTCGTTTCTCTTTGGAAGTCTCGTTCGCGTAGAATACAGAAAAAGAGGCAATATAAATTTTGCTTCTTGCTTCTCGCCGACTTGCTGACATAAATACAGGTTTCCATAATAGGTGGAACAACGCTCGACGCGATGTACCGCTTATTATGGTGTCACCAACCGATTAATAACTGCTGTGAAATAATACGCAGTCGCATGAAAACCAAAACAGACAATAATTTCATAATACATATGAGTATTACATTTTATCTTATATTTATTTCATACGTTACACAAAAGAAATATAATTAAAAAAAGTATACTAATTTACGAGACAAAAATGTAGGTAATGACCCAGTAAGCAAAAAATCATTGCCACAACGTTATTATTGTTGTCAAGTATATAGTTTTTAATATTGTATGCAACATCATTATGAACAAACTTTGACATCGATTTAGAGATTTCGGTAATGTTGAAATTAACGTTTTTAAAATATTTTATTAATATTTTGAGCAATATATGTTATTAAATAATATTTTTAAAACATTTATAAAACATCAATTAAAATATTTTTTTAGAATATTTATTAATAATATTTTAAACATATATTTATAAAACATTATATAATAACGTTTAAAAATTTATATAAAATCAACATTATAAAATGTTGATTAACCATTTCTTGCTTATTGGGGAGATTCGTTCCATATTGCAGAAAATTATGTTCTTCCAAATAATATGAATATCAAATTATTAAAGAATACAAGTCGCAAAATATTATTACATCGAAATAATTTATATTTACAAAAGTACGTAATTTTCAATAAATATTGCTGTACATTATAAAAAGCTGTTGTAAAATTTATATTTCTGTTTATATTTTTACAATATATGTATAGAGAATAATACATATTTAGTAAAAATAAAGATGTACTCTTTTTTAATAAAATATAAAATTTAAATAAAAATAAAATATAAATTTAATAGAATTTAAAATTATAAGATTTAATTTATTCATTTGGGAAATAAAGAGATGCGACGGCATTAAATTTAATTTACTTTACTATCAGCAATTTTATCAAATTGTTGAACACGTAATGTTAGTGAGAATTTTTTTAACGCGCGCGCGCAACATAAAGTTGTATTTAAACAATTTAAACAGTCGATACCATGTCATACTTTGTCGAAGTTTTTTTTGCACTCCGCATTGTTCGCATGAAACATATTGTTGCCTTTGCAATTTTTCAATTTCACGGATACCGTCCACCCCTTTACACCCGCGATGAACGACGTGAAATTTTGTAGCTCCTGCTACCGCTGCTGCTGAAGTAATTGGATATCGTAATCTCGTTATACTTTGCTAGCTGGAAGGATCGTATAAAATGTCGAGGTGAGTTTCTAAACGAGATTAACCCGCAGATCGTACGGATTAGCGTGACGAAGTTCGAGTAGTGGCTCAGTGATGCTGGACATATTGCATATGTCGTTATATTAAATCCTCGAAAAGCGTTATTTACAGTTTCTCAACAACATTAATCTCACGTATATTTAATTTGTATTTATTAATATTATTATATCTCTGTAGCTTCTCTTTCTCCCCCTGTTTCTTTTAATCATGACTTATCTAATTTAAAATTTAGCAAATATTGTTTAGAAAAATATTTTTATGCATAAATATTACAAGGAAGTCATTTTTAGAAAATATTATTTGATATTGCCAATCGACTGCACAATTGCACTTACCACTACTAATTATTTGCATACATCTCTTGAAAGACAGCTTATTGTTTTGCGAATCGAAGCGAGCATTGGCCAATGAAGTGCACGAAAGTACTTGGCAGAAGGAGGTGGGTTCTTCTTTCGGTAGACACACACCAATAATTGCCTGTCTGGCGAATCTTCTTCTAGGAGATGTTCCGGACATAATTGGTTGCCTTTGTGCTAGATAGGAACGAGACGTTCTAGCTCTTTTCAAGACTCTCTCAGTTAAAAAGATTAAAATCGATACGGCAAGATGGTAGCATATTGGATGTTGAAAGATTCCGCGTAAGAAAAATGTTTCTTTGATGCTATTTTATTATCGCGTGCGACGAATTTTTTCATGCAATTAATATTAACTAGTAAAGGACAGTCTCATAAATTATATAGAAGAGAAAAAGGTCTGAGAAAAATTCTCGTACTAAGATATAACAAAAAACAAATACCTACTATGCTGTATCTTCTTTATTATTCGT